TGAAAACATCAAAATCGTTCGAGCCGCTTTTGCGTATGTTTAGGAGGTTGTTGTAGATTCCTCCAAACTCGGTGCATTTTAGTCGAATATCTCGTCATTTCGACGTAATTTGATCGGCATTTCGAGTTTCACTTTCCATTAACTCGTAAAAAATGGCTCGGACTTTTTCCCAAAAACTTCCGTAAGGCTGACTATCTCCTACAATTGGATCTTCGGAAGACGCCACCCATGCCTCCGCTAACTTTTCTTCTTCTTCTTTTGTCCATGGGACCCTTTCTTGAGTGGTAGTGGGTCGGGTCGGTTTTTTTCCTTTTTTGGTTGAGGTGGTGGTGAAGGTTGCGTTTCCGCAACAAAATCCGGTGAAAGTGGTGGTTGTGAGCTTGGTGGTTGTGAAATTGGTGGTTGTGAAATTGGTGGTTGTGACGGTTGTTGTTGGAGTTGTTGTAGTTGTTGGAATTGTTGAAATTGTTGGTATTGTTGTTGCATTTGTTGTTGTTGGAAAGACGGAAAAGGTTGATATTGTTGTTGGAAAAGTGGTGTTTGTTGGATAGGGGAACCGCTTTGAAGTAGATTGATAAAACCGCCTTGAGGTGACTCCATAATCGGGAATTGGCGAGGAGTTGTATCTAACGCAAAAGCGTTATCGGGCTTGCGATTTCTATAGTTTGGAGGGGTATTTTGGTTGGGATCCATGATTTTTGGTTGTGAAAATGTAGTGTGTAGTTTGTATATAGAGAAAGAAAAGAATGATGTAAAAATTAAGAAGTTAAGGTGTTGTATTTATAGGTAAATAAATTGGGTATTTTTTTTTTTTAAACCAAAGTAGCCGTTGAACGGCTATAAAAAATGGTCAAATGTGGGCTGCGATTCTATTGGCCATTTACGTCCGCTGTGTGGAACACGAAAGACCACGAAAACGAGCTACCACGAACCAACGGCGCGGTGTGCACGGCCGTTGTTCGTGGCCAGCTCAACCACGACCTGTCTCGTGCTAGGTATACCATATGGCCTTAGACATAAGCCCTTTGGTAAAATAAATAAATAAATAAATAAATGTTTTGATGAATCCCATAAACGATAGGTACGTCATTGGCCACACAATCCTTCTTTATTTGCACATTCACCCGTCTCTGTCTCTGTCCGACTGTCTCTCCCACTTCTCTTTCATCAATCTTGATTCACCTCGTTGAAATTGTATAAACATGGCACTTGGCACAATATAGAGATTCTCTTTCTCCTTCACAATTGGATTCTAATTTCAAAACATCCCTCTCTTCTTAATAGGTACGTTTTCTTTCTCTCTTTCATCTTCTTCTTCTTCTTCTTCTTCTTCTTCTTTTCTTCTTCTTCTCCTTCTACTACTACTCCCTTGTTATTGTCACCATCAGCAGAATATCCCCCTTGACTTTCTTCTCCTTCGTATCATGTCTGTTTTCTTCTCTGGATTCAGCTTAGAATCAGGATCCTGCTACCTTTACTTGCAATTTCACCTGGGATTTGCTTCAAATCAAATGGGTTCTTGTTGTTTTTTGATGGGTTCTCATAATCTCGTCTTCTCTCTTAGTTAATGGTAGATTAACAGATTTAACCTTAGTTTTGTGTTTTTCAAGTGTTGAAATCGTTCATGATTTACGATGAAACGAACCATAGCTGGATTATGAATAGCTTTTCGTGAATTGAGCTAGGGCAGTTGGGAAATTTTCTCGAGAATCTAATGACGAAAATTCAAATTTGCAGGAATTCTATCATTTTTCTGCGAATATAACTTCAATTTGAGGATGAATTCTGTGTATTACAAACAACATGAAGATGCAATTGCTTCAAATCCGGTGGGTTCGCTGTCATCTGGTTCGGGTCCATGGTGGAGTGGACTTGCGACTCAATCCACTTTTGAAGAATCTGTAGGCCGAATGAAGCTTTCATCAATGGAAAATTGTGGAGAACAACTCATGCCTATTGCCCCTAAACCATCGTCTCATAGCACAGATCAAGGAAATACGACTCATTTCAATACATTTCCTGGTAATAAGAACAATCATTAACCATGTTAATCTTGAAACTTTCAAAGGTTCCAATGCTATGACATTGTTTTAGGACAATTGAGCTATAAATAAGATCATATTCAATCCTGAAACTCCAAATTTTTGGCATAAAAGTAGTTGTAATTTGATCTTTTTGGGAGTTTGTATTTAAATGAGACCAGAATTTTTGTGGGAAAACTTGATCAAGGTTTAAGTGATTCAGGTGATTGCAAGAATTCATCAAAAGGGCAAAAACCAGTGCAATTTGAGGCTGCTTTCTCACATGAGTATGGAGGTCAACTTGAGCTAGGATTTGGTCAACCAGCTGTGGTATGTACTTTATGAACATGTTTTTTTTTTTTCTCTAAATGATTTTGGTGCTTAAAATTTCTTTGCTTTTGATGATTTATGATAGATTTGTGGCAAATATACTTATGGGGATCAATATTATGGCATGATATCTGGTTGTGGACCTCAAATCACGGTTTGTCCTCTCTTTGAACTAATTTATCTAATGATCTTTAATTTTGCTAATAATTTACAATTAGAGGAAATTAATCTTCTAAGGATCATAATCTTAGTTTTGTTGCAAACTAACCGTTGTACTTGTTAAATTGCAAAAAAAAAAAAAAATACTAAAATATGCAAGAATGAGCAAATCAGGCTATGCCCAATGTTTATTTTGCAACAAAAAAGTAAACTTTACTTTAGTGTTCTTTTATCTTATCAAGTACAATGATTAATTTACAATGTAAGTACAATCATTTGTTTTTGATGATTATTTTGTGTATTAATTTACAATTCAGGGTCGGATTATGTTGCCTTTGAATTTGAGCACCGATGATGGGCCTATATTTGTGAATGCAAAACAATATCATGGAATCATCAGACGCAGGCGATCCCGTGCTAAGGCTGAAATGGCGAAAAAGGCTCCGAAAGGTCGTAAGGTATGTTGATATACTGTGAAATGACCTTTTTACCCTCGTAAACTATCGGATTTTTGTTTTCTGAAATATATTTTATCGTTTTTCTTGGTTCAGCCGTATCTACACCTGTCGCGCCATCTCCATGCAAAGCGCCGGCCAAGAGGCTGCGGGGGCCGCTTCTTAAACACGAAAGAAATGGAGAAGGGTAATGTTGGAAATTTGGACTCGAAAACAACCGAGCATCCAATCGACTCTCAGCGATCCGAAGTTCTACAGTCTGATCACGAAATGAATGCCAGTAGGCCGCACATTTCGGGATCAGAGGCCACTAGCATGTTCTCCATGGGAGACCTCAATCTGTTTCCCTCCCTTTCAGACATGATGATGTCCGGGAACGATATGCATGGCTTTGCCATGCATAACAAATGGGTTGCAGCGGCTACCAGCGGTGGTAGCCGCTGCAACCTGACAGTCTGATGGCAGTTGGGGTCCTGATGTGTGGATCACATGATCAACACGTCAGATCCCGTCCATCGATAGTCAAATGTGACGGAGGTTTCCGCTGTTTGGCTAGGCAAATCATCCTTGGCTTTTGTGTTAACGTTGTGTCTCTTTAACACTATTCCCCCTGGTTGCAGCGTTTGGGAATAGTTAAGAGATGCTAAATGGCCTTAACACATTCAAATGGGCAAACACTTCTTTTAGATTTGTTTGTTTCACCTTACATTAATGGTGTGTTGCTTGAAATAAATCGTGCGTTTTGACTCCCATACATTTGGGAACTATCAATTGCACGATATGTATCATATGTGTTTTTTGACATTAAAAACATTTGGGATATGACATGTATCATATGATTGATACTTTTGGTTAATACACTTCTTGTGAAATTCCCCTTTGCATACTATTGTGAACTAACTTGAATCTTGTTGGTATTTATAAGTATTTATGAATCTTAAAACGCCAATATTATGTAAAACAAATTAACGGTTTCAATCAAGACTAATCATCGAAGCCATATATTACAGGGATATTAACAAAAATGACCATTATAAACAAAAGACTTAATAAAAATGACCAAGTTTTTGTGTAGGAAATGGACCTTTTTGTCTAGAATTAGGGGGTGTTTGGATAGGGAAAAAATAGGTTGCTTATTGCTTATTGCTTAATCCCACCGCAATAAGCAAATTTAAGTGTTTGGATATGAGTCTTTAAAAATCAGTTTATTGCGGTAGGAATAAGCTAAATAAGCTGATTTTAATAAGCAAGGGGGGAATGCTTATTGCTTATTGCTTATTGGTCATTTTACTCATATAAGCTGTTTTGTTTACCAAACACTTAAGATGCTTATTGCTTATTCCTACCGCAATAAGCTAATCCAAACACATTTTAAAAAAGTGTTTATTCCCACAACATTAAGCAAATAAACAATAAACTAATAAGCTAAAAACTATTTATCCAAACACCTCCTCGTTGCTAAACAAAATGTATAACAAACAAAATATAAGATGTGTATTTTTATTTCTCATTTGTGTCAAGCATTTAAAAAGAATGAGCATTTTGAAGTGTTTATTTTATAGTATCACCTATTTTTATTTTTCAATTAGATGTCATATTTTATATATATATATATATATATATATATATATATATATATATATATATATACTTGTCATTCTCTATATTTGTTTAATTTTTTGTTAGATTTTAATTAAAAAAAAATCAAATATTTGTCTTGAAATTCTAGAATTATTTATCATATTTCAAATTTTACTTGAAATTCCATAAGAGTTTTATTTCTTATTTATACTTACAGAAATAAAAAATGTTTATCCGGATGTATTTTTTTCATGAGGAAAAATACTTTTAACTAGACATCAAGCTAGTTAAAATGATCAATTTCAAATAAATAGCTTATTTTCCTAAAACACAAAAACATGGTTTTATTAAATTATTCAAACATAATAGTCATTTTTTTTAATAATACCATATTAGAAAACAAAAAGTTAATTATCTAGAATTTAAAAATATCAATAAATACAACCAAACAACACTAGCCTTATCTTCTCTATTTCACTCCAAGCAACCTTGCAGACCAATTATATCGTTCTTCACGTTATTCAAATCAGGATCCAAAATGTCTGCTGCTTCTTCTTCATTAATCCCCATTGCCGGTTCTTCAAATGCAGCTTCTTCACTCTGCAACACGAAAGCTCTTCATTTACAAACTCCCACAATCTCCATCTCCAAAACCCACTTCAAAACCCCAAAATTTTCTTTCAATCTCAAAACCCATTGCTTGAATTTCTACCCACTGCTTCGATCCTCCCTCCCACGCCCGAATTGCTCCCCATCCAATGAAGCAATTCAAGTTGACGAAAACCCAGAAACAGAAGTATCACTAATTGAAGAAGAATTAGAAATCGACGAAGATGACGATGATGATGAAGATGAAGATGATGAAGAAGAAGACGAAGAAGAAGAAGAAGAAAGCGAATCACCGGAAGCTGGGAGGCTTTACATCGGAAACTTGCCATACGCGATTACTTCTGCAGAATTGTCCCAAATATTCGGAGAAGCTGGCGATGTAATTTCCGTGGAGGTAATGTGTGTGACTGTTTGAATTTTTGTATAATTTTGGGGATTTCCGGTTTCTCGTAACCCTAATTTCCATTGGATCAGATTGTTTACGATAGGGTTACAGACAGGAGCAGGGGATTCGCATTTATTACAATGGCAAGTGTTCAAGAAGCTAAAGAAGCCATTAGAATGTTTAACGGATCTGTAAGCGCTCTCTTCCATTCTTACAAACGAGTTTGAATCCAATTTCATCTCCAGAAATCGTTGAATTCAGAAACATGATTGCGAGTTTGCGACTACTGATTTTGATAATACTCTACAGCAAATCGGTGGAAGAACAGTGAAGGTAAACTTCCCGGAGGTGCCAAGGGGAGGTGAACGGGAAGTGATGGGCCCAAAGATTAGAAGCAGTAACAGAGATTTTATCGAAAGCCCTCACAAGATCTATGCAGGTAACCTTAGCTGGATCATAACTTCTGAGAAGCTCAAAGATACTTTTGATGAACAACCTGGTTTTTTGAGCGCAAAGGTGATCTACGAGAAACAATCAGGGAAATCTCGAGGTTTTGGGTTTGTCACTTTTAGCTCTCCTGAGGCTGCAGAGTCTGCACTTAACGCCATGAATGGACTGGTAAAAGCTTCAAAACTCCCGTTATTTGTGCATCTTTCTTCTTATGTGATCTTTGTTTTCTTCATTTCTGGTCTTTTTGATGAATAGGAGGTTGAGGGTCGGCCTTTGCGACTGAACTTGGCAGAAGGAAAAGGAGATGTGTCTCGCTCAACAAGAACAGGAAGAAGTTCTGAGATCAATGTCGATGGGAGTGAGATTCTTTCGAGTATTAGCTCCTAAATTTAGTCTGCAAAAATAAGTAGTTAGAAGCTTTTAAATCTTCGTTTGAAGGAGAGGGGGAGAGTTGAAGTTTTGTGCAAGAAATCGGCATTCGTACGCATTTGGTAATGTATTCTATATAATATATATAGTATTTGAAGTAGTTATTTAGTTTATTAATATTGTTAACTCGTTGAGTTATTAGAGGTATTTTTGTAAAGCTTTTTACAAATTGTGAAAAATTATTTGAGAGTTTTAACAAGGTTTTGATGATCGAAATTTTATCTATAAACGTGTTTTGATGATCGAAATTTTATCTATAAACGTTTTACGTTTTATAGAATCGTGATTGTAAGATTGCATTGGGATCGGAAGATCCTAGCAAAATAAAAATCTACAAATTTGCTAACAAAGTATTGTTTGTGGGGTACTCATTATAACGTGATGTTGATTAACCCAACGACGGTAGAATAACTTTAAATTCTTAAACAATAACCATAATTCTTATAGATACGAACCCTAACAATTAGGGCGTCTCCAATAGATCGCCAAATTAGTGTTATTGTGCAAAAATTTGCTACAATGGGCAGGTAAAAAGGCCGGCATTTTTGTGTGAAGCAATTTTTACCGGTATATATACCGGGTCACTATTCATCACACCAAACTTGCTTTATACTTTAAGTATCATATAATTGGATTTTAGTTAGACTTTATTATTATTATATTATAGTTTATTGTTATTTTCTTTTATAACTATTACAATTTATATTAAAATATATTTATAGTGCAATTTTTTTATTATTATTATATTATAGTTTATTGTTATTTTCTTTTATAACTATTACAATTTATATTAAAATATATTTATAGTGCAATTTTTAGTGTGTGGTTGAAGTCAAAAACTCATTCTTTTTATGTTTTTAGTGGTTGATGGTTGGAGTTGGTCTTTGGAAGAAAAACTTATTTTCTTTAGCAGAACGGTATTATTGTGACCATGTACATCTAAAGACGCAAAATCATAAAGGGATTTCCATGCATGCCACGATGATCTGCTTAATTTGAGATGAATAAAAAAAGTCGTGATGATCTGCCTAATTTGAGATGAATGAAAAAAGTCGTGATGCTCCATGGGGCCTTTTGCGATATGCAATTCTTGACTTCAAGCTTAATGTACAAATTTTTTGGCTATAAATGAGATTTTTTAGTAGAAATGACGAATTTACTAAGAGTTAAGAAGACCAAAGACTTAACTACAAAAAAGACTAAAGACTTGAAATCGAATCAAAGTACTATCTTACGATTTTAATCCGGACCTTTAGATCATGGTAGAGATCTTGTTTCATAACCGGTCATAGTTTGATTGAGATATTTTGTATTTTTTGCCTTTATATTTTTAATATCTCATTTTACATCCTATCTACATTTACATATTAAATTTATATTTATTGTTTTGTTAAATTAATATATTTCAGTAAATATATAAAATAGAAAAAATAGATTTTATAAAAACCTATATCATTAAAAAAACATTTATCAAATGATCAAGATGGCACGAGTGTCAAATATTAAGATAAAATTATGACAATATAATACTTTTATCTTTTCTATATAACTACATGCATCATTTTTTATACTTTATATTATATAAATATATTAATAGACATGTAACTCAGGAACAGTGAACTTTAGATATTTTAGGTTTTGGCCACAATAATTTAGGGTGGTTGACAGTTTTGGTCATCGGCTTAGACTTGGACCCATTCGTGTTTTAAATTTTAATTGGTCTGTTCATCCTTCTAAAACCATTCAAGAAACACCATCTCCTTCCTTCGTTCTTCACACTTGAGACCGAAAATGCTCTCATCACCACCGCCCTATACGCCACCGCTCACCACCACCATCACCACTATATACACCGCAACTCACTACCACCACCTGCAGCCCCTGCTCTGCCTTCTCCGTTAACCATCATTGCACCTGATTTGCCTTCTCCGCTCATCTTCGAAGTGTGGCCTAAATCTGGCGAATCCTTAACTGCCGATGACTATCTCACATCGTAAGTTCTGTTATCTTTATTTATATGAAATTTTGATGTTCGTTTGGGAAAGTTTTCGAAGCCATCCTGATAAAGTTCTTGGCATACTTTTAATTCTTTTATTAGGGTTCATGGTCATGTGATTTTTTATTTGAGTTAAGATTAAAATTAAGAATGCTCTAAAGAAATCAAAGATTTAAGTTAAAAAAAAATATAGAAAATGGTATCTCTTCTTTTTGTTTAACGTGTATACACCCGCTCTAAAGCACTACTTGTCTTATATCAGGGTTTGAGTCTCCCTCCTAAGGCTGGCGTTACGTTTTATGACTTCAATCATATTATCACGCTCATGCCTATGTTGCCTTCGATGTTTTGTTTCCGTATATTTTTTCTCAATTTCTCAATTTCTCAATTTCCCATACGGTAACAACTAAGGAAGTAATGGGAGCAATTAGGCGTAATTTTACTCATTCAATCAGCAATTTCTTTTAATACATAGATTGATGTTTGTAATTTGAACCACTCAATTGTAATTTGTATTTTGAGTAATGCTATCATGTAAAAATGCATTTTTTTTTGAAATTGGAGCTTGATAAGCTTAACCATTGAACCACTCTCTTTTACAAAGGTAACATTAGCTTCTCCTTGCTCTCCATTCTTTGCTTTCCGCTTCTTCAGTTATGTTTGAATCAAACATTCGGTAAGTACATTGTTGTTATGAGAAAATAATTGTTTCTATGTTGGTATTATGTGTAAAACAAATGTAAGTGTAAGTATGTTGTTGTTATTAATTACATATTGCTATTATCGGCATAGAATATCTCTTGGTGCTTGCTATTATGGATACAAAATGTAATTTATTACTATTATAAAGTACATTATGTATATTGGTACAAAGAGTAAGTACATTGCTATTTTCAACAACTTACCCCTCAACTTATATGATTACATGTTCCCTTTTAGGGGAATATGATGCAATTATCGTATGTATGGATGCTATTTCCTATAATTTGCCTCCCAGAGCTCTCACAAGCAAGCTGCATTTAGCGAAAATCGTTACTTTCTATATCCAATCCAATATCAATAACAATAACACGGGCTTAATCAAACCCAATAACGAATCTTCAACACAGACAAAAAAATAATAATAAAAAAAAATATTGTCACGTGGTTCACCACGGGATCACCTCTTAGTTTCTTTTAAAAAAAATAGTCTCGAGTGCTTAAACGACAAATTAAATAATTTATTTAAAAAAAATTAAGATACATGATGATAAATGAGTTTCTATAACAAAAAAAGACCTTAAATGTCTTGAATAAATAGTCTCGAGTGTTTGTAAGTCTTTCATGCATTCAAACTTATAAACCTAGTTGACTTTGGTCTTTCTACCAATATAGGACTCATTCTTATATCTCTTTTGCTAACTTTATTCTTAAATACTCGTCTTTGATTATCGATATCTTATTCACATATACTCCATTTTGGATATATAATATATTGTTTCAAAGTTCTTACGGAGGAGAACACAAACTCACTTAGAATTAATTATATATATACAACATATGTATACATTTATATATGTCCAAAGTTAGTAAAAATATAAATATTTATACTAAATTGTTCCAACAAAAAATTTGTCAAATATAACATCACTCCCCAACCTTAGAATTTTGGAGGAAACACAACTTAATCAAAAGAATATACAACATGCATTTCCCATTTCAGAAGAAACATTGTTAAAGATAACATCTTTACTAAATAAGTAAATAGTATAATTATGCGAAAGAGGAAGTAACTGAGGTATTTTGGTAATTTGACATTTTGAATCAATAATCCGTTTTGTTAAGATGGTAATTATGCAAATTTGATTATTTGACTTTTTACAATACAATAGTTAAAATGATTTTTTTACATTATCAAAGAGTATAGATTGGCTCTATGTAAGCATCCTAAAGACGTGCTTAGCAATGAGTTTTTGAGAACTTATAATTTTTGAAAAGGTCTCAAATTAAAAAAAAAAAAGTTTTGTTTGGAGTACGAGCTTAAATCTTTGATTTAAAACAATTTTATTTAATAAAAAAATATAAATTGTTTACTTTTTGAAAGCTTTTAGCCTTTATATTTTACGTAATTTTATACTTTTTCGAACATATCAGTAAATAAAAAAAAAAGCTACAAATTATTTTTAGCAAATTATTTTTAGATATTTTTAGCAAACATAGTTTATGAAGTAAGGGTGCAGCTTGCATAGTTACTTAAAAGCAAGGTCGTTTTTGGCAATTCTCCAGAAATTAATCTGTTGTTTCTTTCGATCTCTCCCTATTTCCAACAATGGCGATTCCGGTGACTTCAGTCCTACTCATCGTGATAACCCTCTCTACGAAGGCGTATTTGATCGAATCCAGAAGCAACAATAACAATGTATACTCTCCGTGTGCCGATGCCTCTGTAGAAAAGTCCGATAGTTTCACCTTCGGAATCGCTTTTGCGGCGAGGACTGCGTTTTTCTTCAACAATTCGGTCCAATTATCACCTTGCGATAGGAGGCTCTCTCTATCTTCGGCGAACTCACAGCTCTCCGTCTTCCGCCCTAATGTCGATGAGATCTCCCTCCTCACCGTCAATTCCAGCAGCTTTTCGCCGGTAATTTCTCCTTTACTCCGAGTATTTGCGCTTCTATTTTTCGTTTGTGTAGAAACGGTTGATCTGTATACGGTGTATTCAGTTGATAAGAGGATAGAGAAGACATGTGCAAAGTTCACATTTTTGTGTTTTCTCTAAAACCCTAACCAAAATTGCACATTTCCTCTTGGAAGGAAATGATAATATTACTCATGGTGGATTTAGAGGATAGAGAAGATATTAACAAAGCTCATATTTGCAATTTTTTCTCTAACACCCTAACCTGAATTGAACATTTCCTTTTAGAAGATAATTCGAATGATCATATTTTCACATGACAGGATTCTTATGGTGGATACATGGTGGCGTATGCTGGTAGAAAATATGCAGCAAGATCAATCCCTGCTTTTGTTGCAAACAGTACATACATTGTCACCAGCTTCACACTCGTAAGCTTACATTTTTTTACCATCTTACCCTTTTCTAACCACTATAAATGTGATAATCGAAGGGTATTTTGGTCATAGGTGCTAGAATTCCAAAAGGGTAGGCTGCAAAACTTATACTGGAAAAGAGATGGGTGTTCTTCATGTTCAGGGAAAAGCAACTTTGTGTGTTTAAACAATGAGGATTGTGCAATTAGAACTAATTCATGTAAGAACAGAGGGGGAAATGTCGATTGTAGCCTTGGGATTCAACTTGCATTTTCTGGAACAGATAAACATGAATCTGTTTTTAACTCATTTTATGAAGTTAAAAACTTGAGACAATATTCGCTATTCGGGTTGTATAAAAATATCAAGGATTCTCTTACTAGTCAATACAACAGCTTCTTTTAAATAGCTTCTATGCTTCAACTTTTTATTTATTTTTATTTTTTGTGACAGAAAACAGTATAATTTTGTGATTATTGAACACATGAGAGGTGATATTGATATTGTATGTTATATGAATATATCAATTGGGAAGATTATATGAAAAGCTGATTTGGTTGATAATTGACTTTCAATTTTTTCTTATTTGGACATCATAATTTGAAAAGTCTATATTGGAAATTGTTTGTATGTAAATGACATTTGCTATGATTTGGTAGTTTCATTCATTGCTTTTGTGTTCCAAAAAGCATCAAGTTCTTGAAAATCCAAAGTACTCACATAGATTCAAAAGGATCACATCCATTCAAGCTCGTTGCAAAGCATAAATAAGAGAAACTAATAAAATGAAGAAAAAAAAATCAATGACGGATAATTTAGTTAGGGTTGTTTAGTAACCTATAAATATAATCATTCACAACTCACCTCTGAATCAGTCAACATTGAGGATGTTTGATATGAGCTCTAAATAAATCAAAAGCCTTGGAACTACCTCTGAATGACTAAGCAACGTTACATTCTCTTAACCATTAAGAAGTTGAAACCACTCAGTTCAACATTCAATGTGATCTATCAACCCCATAGTCGTTTAATATATCTTACATTCCAGTTCTTTTGATACATTTGCAAACCAACCATAAACAAATAATTCATTACATTATCTAGCAACCAAGAGCATTATAGATTCAAATTCCTATATATTCCAATTCATCTGAAAGATTTCAATTTCTTTCAAAATATTTTGTGACTAAACATTCCGAATAGAACCAATGGAAAAAAAATGGTTGGTGCCATCAAAAGCTAACCATTAGGTTCGTATTGCCAATTTGAGCCATTAAGTGTAGACGTTTTCCAGATGTGGAATCTTCTAGTTGTTCCTATTTGACAGTATGGCAGGATTGACTACCTGGATAGTTTCAAAAGAAGGATTTCTTGCGGTATTAGTACTCTCTTGTGCAAGCTTTCTTGATGAAGGGTACCTCTTTATAAAAAAAATTGTAATCTTCTTGATGAAGGCTCTTTGGCTCGTGTATCTTTGTTTTAACGTGTTTAATATCGAGTAAGAAGTTTTAGTGTAATATTTAAAACTTCTTATTTGATATAACCGGTAAGGAACAAATGTTGAATGAAATATATACAAGCTCATCAAGTACCAAAGGATTCGTTTGTTAATCATGAAAATACGAAGATGTCAAATTTATTTCAAATAATATTGAAAACCAAATTTACATGAATACACTGAGTTAACCATATCCGTTTTCACCAATTTATGTTTATATATTTGAATTAAACAATCCTAAGTCAGTGTATGTTTAATTTCTGAATCGAAAAATAATAATAATAATAAAGGATTCTAAAGAACCTGAAAAAAGAATCATGCCAAATTAGTTTATATCAGTTTAATTTCAATGTCATTGCTTTTTATTGCACGTCTTTATAATTATATGATAAACAAAAGCATAATAAACAAAAACATAGAAAACTTAAAAGGAAATAACTAATAATAATCGATAATGATAGATAATGTTCATCTTTATCCTGTTTTATCTTATTTTGTTTTAAATCTTTTTGTTTATCAATCCGTTATTTAGAGGGGTTCTCCTGCATAAATACCTGTTCGATGATTAATTAAAAGATTCAGATTGATCCTCAACTTAATAAACAAAGCAAACTCACATAGGATTTGGACGACCATGTCTATATTTTAGTCACTTAAGTTGATTACACTTTACTCAATTAATAGTTTTTGTTACAATCAACAACAAATGATCAAATACATATTTTTTTTTCTATTAAATACTAAATAGTAGGAATGTAAGTCCAAACCTCGAGTAGAAAAACAAACTATAGTAAACAAATAAGTTAATGTCTTGATATATAACTGATCATTTTGTATTAAATTAAAAGAAATAGTTCAATACATATCGATTGAATGCAAATGGGCAACAAGCTGCGCCGCTAGCCATTTAAATTATATAACTTATTTATAATTTTTAAACTTTTTTTTTTTTTTCAAAATTAAAGAACTACCTTATGTTCGTCATGCTAGACTACGAAAACAATTTGCACTTTTATGTTAGTAAGTGCCATAAGTGACATTAACTCAAACTATCGGGGTACTAAGAGAATTATCGATAAATTAGCCGCTAGAAACTTACCACACCAACCCACCGCTGGTATAAATACTCACCCTCGAAGAAATCACACGCTATTCACAAGAAAATCACAAAATCTCATCCCAGATTGAAGAATCCAATGGCGGGAGTTCGAAGCAAGATGTTCGTCGTGCTACTTTGCTCGATTTTTCTAGTTGCACCTTTCGCTGATGCCATAGATGTCAAATACTGCAGTAAGTTTGTTTCGTTTCGTTTTAAGTTCAGTATGATCAAGCATCTCGAGTTAGGGTTTGTAGAATTAAGATTAATTTGGAATAAAGTCAACGATTTCGACTTCTTGTGTGTTTTTAGTTCTTCATATTTCCTTAGTTGGGTTCTAGATGGGGTTTCTTTGCTTGAATTCGTATGATCTTTCTATCTAAAATAGAAACTAATAACTGCTCCTATTTACCCTAATTTGTTATTTTCTGAAGGTTAAGTTATTTAGCATCAATGTTTGGATTTAGGATTTCTGTAACTAATCTTATTGAAATGGTTAAAATTCCCTAAAGCCTATATCTTTTGTTTCAGTAACATACACAATTTATAAAGATCTTACCTTTTTCTTATCAATACATTTACAGAAAAGAGCAACAATTATGATGTGAAGGTGAGTGGAGTTGAGATCACCCCTTCCCCAATAACAAGAGGAGTAGACACCACCTTCGCCATTTCTGCATCTACAGGTAAAAACATCTTGCTAATTGGTAATTACCAATTTATCATGTTCACCATATTTACAAATTACCAATATTGCCCTTTGGAATGCAGATACACCTATCTCTGGAGGGAACCTTGAGATTTCAGTTTCATATTACTTCTTGAGTGTCTACAGTGAAACCAGTGACATCTGCACAAAAACATCTTGCCCTATTGATGCTGGTGACTTTGAAATTTCTCACACCCAATCACTTCCTTCAGTAACTCCACCTGTAAGTAAAATCGTTTATTTACTCAAAAAACAAGAAACAATGTCTTTCTTTGAAACTAATAAAAGATATTCTTATTATTATTTGAAATTTTAGGGTTCATATACACTCACCATGAAGATGAAAGATGCCAACAATAAGGAGTTGACATGCATCACGTTTGATTTCAGCATTGGGTGGTATGCATCTGAGGCACAAGTGGCATCCATTTAAGTGTTTGGAAATCTGTTTTCTTGAAAGGTTTACTAATAAACTGATACTGTAGTAGAACTTTTTTTTTTTTTTGTTCTGTACTATGTTAAGTAGTTTGTCTGTATAAACTGGTCTTTTATGGTTACTACGTTTGTATGGTAAGAATAATCTTTCGTCTAATGTTGAAGTCACACACAGCATGAACAAAATCTATTTGAAGTAGATTAACCATAAGTTTGTATAGTAGCTTTTAATCTGTTTGTTTTTTTTTCCTTTTGTTGACATGATTATATCACCATAAAAGCAAAACTTGCACCATTATTGGTCATGGTTATAAATTGCCTAAAGATTACTAGGATATAGTCAAACAAATACAATATCGTAAAGCTTGATAACATAGAAAATGATATACCAGAAGGTGGATGAAGAAGAAGACTAGAAGAATTTAAAAGAAAGATCCAAAATGAAGAAAATTTTTAAAAAGTATCTATTGGTTTTAATACAATCCAATCCGTAAAAAAATATATGATATTTTAATGTTTAATAAGGGTATATACGAAATTCTCACATAAAAAAATATTATATATAATCTAACTTTAAAAAAAAATGTTATATATAATTTAATTTTAGAAAACATTAATCCAAGTTTTTGAAAGTTATTACTATATTTTACGGTTATTTTATTTTATTTTTATTTTATTTATTTTTTAATTTACAGGGAAATAAATATATACATGGAGTAAAAATTTGTTGATAATTTTAGTATTTAGTATAACTTTATTGGAAATTTTGAAAAATGGCTATAAGCCTGATTGTTTTTTTCGTGGACCAAGATAGGAACTAACTCATAACAAAGGGAATTTTGGGTTCGGCCATGATAGTTGTTGGCCACCTAAGCTCGATTTTTCTGCACCTCGAATCCCATCGTGTTAATACAAATCTTGAAAGAGATATTATTATACAAATACAACCAATACATGGGCGACTTGGGCTTAGGCAGCAAATTTTTGAATGCATCAAAATAGTCAATCTATATGTATAGTATATATAATAATGATCCAAAAATTTAGCCCGTATCTTGTGATCTGTTTACCGACATGAGAAAAAGAGCCGGTGAAGAGGTGCCAAACAATCATCTATCTCAAATGCTCATAGAGAAACCAAACGTCACTGGTGCTTAGAAACCCGTTGGGCGTTGCCGCCGATGGGATAAATCAATGCCTACCTAGAATACGACTCACATAAACACATTTTGCTTCCTCTATTTACGGTAATACATCTAAGGCCATCGGGTATGGGAGCAATTTTGACGCATAATAGCCTAGGTGGCAACCAAAAACGACGACAATAACGACGACGAACGAATCCAAGAAACACAACAACCATCTAGAAGAAGGCAACCAAAAAGAAAAGCTACAAAAAAAGAGGTACAACATGGAACGAAGATGAGGATGAAGCTTTATCTAAAACTTGGATTTTCACATCGTGTGACTCAAGGACGGGCAACGCGCAAACGAGAAACAATTTTTGGCTTCGTGTTTTAGACCACTTTCACTCGCTATTGGGCGGGCAAACGGATCGAACATACGACGCAATCAATGGAAAATAGTGTGAACTACGAGTGGCTTGCACCAAGTTTAATGGCATATTTGAAAATCTTAAAAATATGCATAAAAATGGTAACAAAATGTTGAAATATTGTATTTTTAATGTTCAGTCTCATTATTTATTTTAGTTTTATTTATTTTGTTATGGATTTTTGTCATGAGGGTATATTTTTTACATCATGAATTCTTTGATTAAGCATGTTTTGTTAAATATGTTGGTTAAAGGGTTAGTCGTGCTATTATGGCATAGTTTTGGGTTTCGGCTCGTTTTTGTAAACTGCAGGTGAAAGACACACAAATCTTTACCCGATCTATGGATCTATTTGAATCTGTTGACCCGAAGTATAAAAGTTGTTCCCGGAGTTGTGATGGTCATAATTTCACTCACAAAAGTTGTATAGCTCTTTCTTTTCTCTCGTATTGTAATACAGAGTTAGGATTAGGGTTTGATACTCTCGTTGTTGTTCTTCACTGAAAATCACTAGATCTTGTATGATCGTTTTAGTTTAGGTTGAGTGTAGTTTCCGAGAGTTTTATAGTGAGTTTTGAGTTGTAAGTATTGTGAAAACCAACTGGTTATTTGTCCTTAATTGATATAAGAATTGTTGATGTTGTGCATATTATGTTCTTGAGTTTTTTCACATGGTATCGGAGCTTCACGACTCAAATCTTAAGCTATCTGACGATAGACAGTGTTTCGACGTCAACGGTTGAAAAGTATCTTTGTTTCTTCTTTTGTTTCTTTGTTTCCTTGTAGATCTTCACTCAATTTGTTTAGATCAGAATGTTTTTATTGGAAATCTTTTGATTCCTTCTATTTGAGTGAAAATCTAGGGTTTTCACTTCGATCTAGGGTTTCCGCTCCTAAATCGAAACGTTGTTTTCAGTTCTTTTCTTTAAGATTGTGGTACTGCGAGTATTTGTTTTTGATCTTGTAGATCATCTGGCTTGCTATCTGTGGTGGTGGTTCACTGCATGTGGATCTACTATTGATCGATCAATCTCTATATCTGAAATAACTCTCGAGAGGTCGGCTTTCATCACCGATAAACTCTTAGTAGAGAACAGATTTAGAGAGTCGATCTCTTGTCGCCTTTTGCTATCTCTTTTGTGAGGGTTTCTTGTTCCTTTCTCTCTCGTTTTTTATATTACCGTTCTGGGAGATCCTGGTTGTCTTGAGTACACCAGTTACCTTTTTGTTGATATTGTTCAGCTGTTTGGTTTTCCTTGACTCTGTGTTGATTGAATTGGGTCTCGACAAACTGTGGTAACCATCTAGTCTTTAAGTCAACATAGTTGTCTGTTTTATCATTTCTTTCTTGTTCATTATGACTGGGGAAATTCATGGTGGTAGTGGTAAAGACCTTCCTGTTGATTTTGATGATCCTTTGTTCATACATCCTTCTGATAATGTTATTACTTCTATTATAACTATAAAGTTAACTGGAAATGAACACTATAGGATATGGCGTAGTGCTATGATGAGAGTTCTTAGGGCTCGTAACAAGTTAGTGTTTGTTGACGGTACTTTTCAACTAGATAAAGTTAAGGCTTCTAAATGGGAACAAGCAAATGCAGTTGTCTGTTATTGGATTCTTGGGTCGATATCTGAGTCTATATATGCTAGTCATGCATATTTTGAAAAGGCCGAAGATATCTAGACCGCCTTGTTTGGTACTTATAACAAGTCTGATGGTTCATTTATCTTCAATGTTCATCAACAGATTAACTCTTTAAAACAAAATGGATCTTCTCTGTCTGACTATTTCAAAAACTTGAGTCTCTTTGGAAAGAGTTTGATGGGCTACCTAGTTTAATTGAATGTGTCTGTGAAGTTGTAATTAAACTAAGTGATCATTCTAAACTCATGAAGTTAATGCAGTTTCTTAGTGGTCTTGATGATACCTACAATCAAGTCAAAAGTCATATTCTGTTAATGAGTCCTCTTCCCAATGTCAAATCTTCATTTTCCATTTTGTCTAGAGAAGAATCTCTTCAAAAGAATGGGTCTTTTGTAACGCCCGTAGATCCGGGCTAGTCAATTTAGAGACGATAAACGCTAAAAGTGACTTTTTGATAGAAGATTATTTAGAATGAATAATCTTAACTAAGTTGTAGTGGTCGTGACAAGGGTTCCGGATATATAAAGAATGCCGAAATCCGAGTTATAACAATCTAAACGACACAACGCGACGTAAATAGTGAATTTACGATGAAGTGATTTTTAGCCGAAACAATCTAAACGAGAATCGAAGATCTCGTCGATAGTAGTGCAACGGTAAAAAGACAGACGAAAACGGACGTCGGATGAATAAGTTATGAGTTTATAACGGAGTTTTCCTGTCCCGGCCTACTAAAAATAAATATAATAAAAATTAAAGTCAAAATTAGCCAACGGAGTCTAAACGCGAGTTGTAGAGCATAATCTCACCTACGCGTGGATATAAAGAACGTCGAAAATGGAGCTCGTATGCGAAAGTTATGAATTTATGAAGTTCGGGGCGCGAACCCCAACACTGTGTTAGAGTTCACGACGTGAACTCAGTGCTGACGTCTTCTAGATCCTGACAGACTGAACATCGCGACTACGCACCTGATGACGTCCAAGGTCACGACGTGAAAACTGAATTTTCAGCCCTATAAATAGAAAGCGAAGGCAGCCGGTTTTGGTTGCTAATTTCTCAACCTCTCTCCTACTCTACTCATCTTTAAGCCATCATTTAGCCCCCCGAAGCCCCGATATCATCCCCGATACCCGAAGCGAGTACCTACGCTCCGAAGATCCCGAGAAGAAAAGAGTTTCAAGCCAAAGCTCTGCCCGCGAGAAGCCCGGTGTGTGAAGATATCCCGGTTTCATCGAAGAATAGTACTTGAAGAGTTGTAGTGCTGTCCGATCATCGTCTTATCAAGTGAGTGTGTAGTTACTTTCTTCTAACACATAGATATGAAGTGTTTGCTATGAAATACGTGCTATGTGTTTATACATTGTTTGTTTACTTGAGATAGATGTTGAATGAATGTTTTATACAGGTTTTTAAATGATTTAAACTGTATATGTATTTGCATCTACAAATATGTTGGGTAGAACATGGGTAGATGAAATAGTTGATGTGAGACGAAATGATAAGAATTTTTGATGATATCAATGTTCTAGTTAACTAGTGGAATAGAGATGGTGACCACAAACTGTTCTAGACAATCCAATGAAAAGTTAACAGGTTCGTAACCTGTAGGTATTTTTGAACTCAATGTGTTCATTAGGTATTTTTGAACTCTATGTGTTCACTTGGTATTTTTGAACTCAATGTGTTCATTAGGTATTTTTGAACTGTGACAACCCGAAACTTTTTCCGTTTCCGTTACGCGATTTCCGTTAATAAAATTTCGAATTCGTTAGCTTTTTCGTCAAACTTCTTGGTTTTGAAAATAATATAGTTGTATGTAATTAAATTATTTACGAGTCGGAACCAAAAATCGCACGGAAACCCGAATATCTCGAAAAATCAATCATTTCCGGTCTAAGTGAGATTACGACCGTAAACCTGTTTACGGTCAGTAACGAGTGGACCCCACCACACCCCTATAAATACGATACCTCCACCTCCATTA